CCTGCTTCCATGCAACCCCAAGGCCTCACCTCTCCTTAACCTACCATCATTCGCAATCTCCTCTCTCTCGCCGCTCCTCCTCTTACAACCTCCTCCACTCAGTCGCAAGTCGCTTAGCCTACGCTTCTCCCCCTCGCCCTCCCCCTCTCTCTCACTCGCTCCAACTCTCTCGCTAGTGTTTGCACGCTCACTAGACACGCACTGGTCCGCGTGAGACGACTCAAAGCACACCGTTTCTACATCAGAAGCTGTCTCCTCTTCATCTTCCTCCTCTTCCAAGTCCTCTTCCTCATTCTCCTCCTGCTCTTCCTTTCCATCCCTCACATGCTCCTCGTCCTCCACCCGTCCAATCCCCTCGCTTCCCTCACTCAACCTGCCACCTTCGTCAAGCCCTTCTTCTTGCCTCTCTCCCTGCCTCCACCGCCTTTCCAAGGACCATGTCCTAGGCTCTCCTGCTCCTGCTCCTGCTCCTGCTCTTACTCCTGCAGCAGTCTGTTTTGCAGCTGCGGAAGCAGCACCACTGCCCCCCCCTCTACTCCCGTGCCTCCCTGCGTTTCTTGCCTTGAAATCCTCCAGTCGCTGCTGCGGCCACTGCTGCCGTTCCGATCTCTGCTCCTCCAGCTGCTCCTGCTCCTGCTCATGCTCATGCTCATGCTCATGCTCATGCTCATGCTCATGCTGCTCCTGCCCCTGCTGCTCCGGCAGTGGCATAGCAGCACGCATCATCGCAGCACCACTCTCCTCAGCCCTAGTACCCTGCATCAACGCATGCTCTTCCAAGCACACAAGAGGAGGACGCAACAAGCCAGCAGCAACACCACGGCAAGAAGCCGCCGCTGCTGCCACCGCAGCAGCAGCAGCAGCAGAGGTGGTTGGTATACCCACAAGTCCACTCCTCACGTCCCCCCCTGCAATGCCAACCTCTACAGAGGCGAAGCGAGACATATTTTGCTGCTTACCATGCCTCTCCCCATGCCCCCGTCTCCTCTGCTTGCTGCTTCTGCCACTCCAGCTCCTTTCCTCTGCTTCATCCGCACACCCTGACATCCTTGCTGCCTCTCTCTTCTTCCTGCCAACCCTAGCACCACCAGCAGCAGCAGCGGCAGAGGCAGCAGCAGCAGAAGCAGCAGCAGCAGACGGAACAGGATTCTGCGCTGTTGTGAGTGGTGTTGCCTCTCCTGCTGCCACTGAACCTGCACTGCGCCTCACAGAAGCTGCAGCAGCTGCCACTGCTGCTGCGGCCAGTGACAGGGCGGGTGAGGAAGCTACAGGCACCTCAACAGGACAAACCAGTGCAGTAGCAGCGCCAGCAGCAGCCACAGAAGCCGTGGGCATGGCTGTACCAGCGGCGGCAGCGGCGGCGGCTGCAATAGCTTCTCTCTTGGTGTCTAGATGCAACAGCTTTGCAAACGCAGAGAGGCTGCCAGCAGCAGCAGCATCAGCATCGATAGCATCAGCAGCAGCAGCAGCAGCTTCGCCAAGAGCAGCAGCAGCAGTAGCGGAAGCAGCAGTGGCACCACCGTCACCAGCAGTGCGGATTGCAGCAGCATTCCTGTACGGGCGAGCACGAACACTGCTACCTGTACCCGCACCCTCCTTTTCACCAGCACCAGCAGCACCAGCAGCACCAGCAGCAGCAGCAGCACCAGCAGTCTCCAGTGCAAGCATCCTCTCCACCCCCTCTCGCCCCTCCCTCTCCCCTGCACCGGCACTTTTCCTGTGACTCCTCTGCCTCTTCCTCCGCCCTGAACCATTCAAATTCAGCTCCTGCTGCCGCCCGTCGTTTTCCCATCCGCACTCTACCTTGTCCCACTGCTCTCCTGCTCTCGTCTCTACCCTCGCCCCTCTGCTGTCCCTCATCCCTCTGCTGCCTTTTGTCCCCTTGCTCCCCCTCTTCTCAGTTTTGCCTTCCCGCCTCCCCTCATCCTCTCGCTCCTGCACCTGATGTTTCCTTCTCCTGCCTCTTCCTGCTGCTCGGTGGTGCCTATGTCGCCTTATGAAATCGGGCAGCTTGAAAGTTTTCAGCCTCACGGGCAGGAGGGCCAACGGAAGAAGCAGATTGGCGGTCTATGGGAAAAAGGACAGACGGAAAAAACGCAGCGCAGGTGGGCGGGAGAATGGGAAAGGGAAACATAAATTAAGACAACACGGAAACTATAGAGCACCCAATCAAGCACGCAACTCACTGAATCAATCAACTCATAACTCACAACACATGCCTTTAGGGCGAGAGGGAGAGAGAGAGGATTTTTGAGGCGCCTCAAAAATCAAGCACGCAACTCACTGAATGAATCAACTCATAACTCACAATACATGCCTGGAGGGCGAGAGGGAGAGAAAGAGCGCAAGAGCGAGAACGAGAGTGAGAGCGAGAGGGAGCGAAAATGCAGAAAGTGTCACTCGCCCCTCACCTCGCCCCTCACCTCGTCCTCCCCTGCAATCAGTGCCCCACTTACTGAAATTTCTTTGCCCTTATCAGCTGCACAAGCCCTGGCCATAGCAGGGGCAGGGGCGGAAGCAGTGGCAGGGGGGGCGGAGGGTGGAGTACGTGTGGGTGTGAGGGTGCGCGCGCATGGCTGGATGGCAGCAGCGACTGGTGGGAGCGAGCTTTGAAGTAATGGAGTGGAAGGGCGTGGAGAGGAAGATGGTTCTGCTGCCACCATCAGGCATGGTGCTGCAGGTTTTGACCATGCTTCTGCTTCCCCAGCTCCTGCTGCTGCTGCTGATGGTAATGCTTCTACTGCTTCTACCGTTTCTACTGCTTCTTCTGGTGTTAGTAACTGTACGGGTGCTGGCAGTGGTACTACTTCTGCTGTTGTTGGCTGTGCTGCTGCTACTGTTGATGGCGCTGGCGGTGCTGCTGCTGCTGCTGCTGCTGCTGCTACTCTCAATGGTGATACCTCCAGCAAATCTTTAGCCCTCGGGGGTGACTCAGCTGATGAACCAACTTCAGGAGTCTGCTGCACCATAAGAGCATCAGAGCAAGCATCTGGCAATGGCAAGGAAGAGAAGGAAGAAGAGGCATTAGCAGGAAGCACCGCAGCCTGAACATCCGCCTGCCCTTTCCTCTTGCATTGAGGTGAACTTTGAGGCGCCTCAGGAAGCACCGCCGCCTGCACATCCGCCTGCCCTTTCCTCTCGGCTGTTGTCTCCCCAGTCTCATCACCTCGCTCACCTCGCCCCTCCTCGCTCCCTCCCACCTGCTGCTCTTCCTGCTCCCGTGCCGTTTCACCATCCCTCCCACTGCCATCTCTCCCACTGCTCCTCTCTCTCTCCTCCTTCCCTCTCTCCTCCTTCCCTCTGTCCTCTCTCTCTCTCTCCTCCCTCCCTCTCTCCTCCCTCTCTCTCTCCTCCTTCCCTCTCTCCTCCCTCTCTCTCTCCTCCTTCCCTCTCTCCTCCCTCTCTCTCTCCTTCCTCTCTCTCTCCTCCCTCACTCTCTCCTCCCTCCCTCTCTCCTCCTCCTCAGCTTCCATCTCCTCGACCAAGGCCCCTCCAGTGGCTCGTCTTTCTCCCTCGCTGCCACCAGCCTCGGTCTCCCCTGTCGCGGAGTTTCCAACACCCATCGGCGGCGCCCCAACAGCAAAGGGCCTCACCCCCGTATCCCTCACCACTTCCATGCCACCCCCACTGCCAGCAGGTGTCGCAGGTGCATTGACAGCCGGAGCACCAGCAGCAGCAGTACTAGGAGCAGCAGAAGCGGCAGCAATACTGGCAGCAGCAGCAGCAGCAGCAGCAGCAGCAGACGGGGAAGCAAGGAAGGAAGCAGGATGCAGCGATTGTTTGCCTGGTGTGCATGGGAGGCCTTGTAGCATAGACGAATCTGCAGGATCCAAACTCGGGTCAGCGGCAGCATCAGCGGCAGCAGCACCAGCAGCAACAGTACCATCAACAGCAGCAGCTTCTGCTGCAGGGTCAGAACCAAGAGCACCTGCAGCAGCAGTGGTGGCGAGAGTGAGAGGCACAGGCACATTGCTGGGTGCACGCGGTGGCAGCTGAGTGTCTCTGGCAGTGCTGACTGCTGTGGCAATCGCAGCAGCAGCAGCAGCAGCGGCAGGGGCGGAGGGGAGAGTGGGGCGAACAGGAGTGGAAAGCAGAGGGTCGCGGAGATGGAAGGTGGGAGCCGGAGTGACCCCAGCGGGGGCAGAGAGAGCAGTGACTGAAGTGACTTGAGTTGAAATCTCCACAGCAGTGTGCTCACACACCACAGTGACTGGCTCTGACTCTATCCCGCACACCTGCTCCTCCTGCTCCTTCTGCCTTTCCTCCCTTTCGCATGGTGCTTGCCTCTCTTCACACTCACGTACCGCAGCAGCAGCAGCAGCAGCAGCAGCAGCAGCAGCAGCAGCAGCAGCAAGAACAGGATGAGCTAGGCCCCCATCACAACCGGCGGCATCACCCTCAGCTGCTGCAGCAGGGGCAGCAACTGTCAGCTCTGTAGACTCATCTCCCCCTCTCCCTGCACTCTCTTCCGCCTGCCTCCGCCCCTCCCCGTCCCCTCCACCTCCATGCCCAATACAGCACGCTTCCACCTGCCTGTGCCCCTCTGCACTCCCTCCCGCCTCCTGCCCATCCCTGCTCGCGTGCGCCCCTCCCCATCCGCGCTTCTGTGACAGAATCACATCCAGCCCCGACAGGCCCACAGGCTTGGGTGCATCTGCTGCCGCTGCAGCTGCAGCTGCTTCTGCTGCTGATGCTGCCGCTGCTGCCGCTGCTGTCGGTGCTCCTGCTGTGCCTGCTGCTACTGGAACTTGCAGTTTTCCACAGGCAGCGAGTGAGAAGTTGTCATGCCCAGTCAGCTGGTGGTGAAGACAAGTTGCAGCAGCAGGATTGAGGGCCATGCTGACATATGGTGGTGGTGCTGATGCTGGTGCTGGTGGTGCTGCTGGTGGTGGTGCTGGTGGTGCTGCTGGTGGTGCTGCTGGTGGTGCTGGTGGTGGTGCTGGTGGTGCTGGTGTGCTGCTGGTGCTGCTGGTGGTGCTGCTGGTGGTGCTGCTGGTGGTGCTGCTGGTGGTGCTGCTGGTGGTGCTGCTGGTGGTGCTGCTGGTGGTGCTGCTGGTGGTGCTGCTGGTGGTGCTGGTGGTGGTGCTGGTGGTGCTGCTGGTGGTGGTGCTGGTGGTGGTGCTGGTGGTGGTGCTGGTGGTGGTGCTGGTGGTGGTGCTGGTGGTGGTGCTGGTGGTGGTGCTGGTGGTGGTGCTGGTGGTGGTGCTGGTGGTGTGCTGCTGCCATGTGCCATGGGAACAGGCATATCATGGCCGTTCACATACCCCATCTCCCTGCCTGCTTCCCTCTCTCCCCCTGCTTGAGCCCTCACCAATGCCACCTCATCCCCTTCCTTGCCTCCCTCGCTTCCTCTCACTTCCACCTCCTCCTCCTCCTCGTCCTCCTCCCATCCCTCCTCCTCCTCCTCGTCCTCACTCTCTTCCCTCTGCTTCTCCTCCACCCTCCACCTGCCCAGCAATCTCCGCCTCTCCCTCAACCACCCATGCCGGCATCTATCCACACGCGCAGCCCCGCTCTGCCCCATCGCTCTCCACGCCGGTGCAAACGCCACAACCGCCAGCCGAACCAGCAGCCTCCTCGCCCCAACCCTCCCCCCCCACTTCTCCCCCTCCATGCCTCTCCAGGATCCTAACGCGAAGGATGGGGGGGCTGCTGTGGGTTCGGTGGGGCTGCTGCTGCTGCCGTGGCAGCCGTGCCTGCTGCCTAAACCCTCGTTCGCATAATCTACTTGCTCCAACTCTTGCTCCACGTGCCACCGTTTCCTCTTGCGTTGCCACGAGCAGCCTGCGGGCGAAAAGATGCGGGACTCAAGACACGAGGGGTGCAGGCAGGTGGGGTGCGGGCAAGAGGGGTGAGGACAGGTGGCGTTGCCAGTGCACGTGCAGGGGGGAAGGGTGGAGAGCGAGGAGGGAGGAGACGGGGAGGATGATGGTGGGGAGCGAGCAGGGGACGGGGAGCAAGAGCGAGAGTGAGAGCGAGAGCGAAAGGGGGAGGCGACGAGGACGGGCGTGTCAGTGGACGTGGGGCTAAGGAGGTCGATGATGCCGTCTGCTGCTGCTGTGTTGTTGTTGTTGATGTTGTTGCCGGGCAAAGTTGGCGGATCCTGAATGTGCATATGCACAGGGATGTGCTGCTCTTGCTCTTGCCCATGCCCATGCCCATGCCCATGCGCATGCCCTAGCCCAGCAGACGCATGCAGTTCCCCGCTGCTGCTGCCACTCGTTGCTCTCCTCCGCCTGCTGCACACTCCCCCCACGCCCTTCCTTTCATCCGCCTTGCTTTCTCCCGTGCCACCTGCTCTCCTCCCTCCCTGCATGCCGCCTTGCTCCTTCACCTCCTTCTCATCACTGGACACTTCATCCCGTTCCTCACCCACCCCTCTCACACCCTTGTGTCCCTCCTTCTCACGCTGCCCCTCCTTGTCCCCTTCTTCCTCCTCTTTCTCCTCGTCTTTCTCATCCCCTTGCTGCTCCTCCTTTCTATGATTCATCCAATATCGTTTCTCCCCAACCTTTTCCTGGCTCTTCCTCACTTCCCTCACCCCCCTCCCCTGCCCCATCCACCCTCTCCGTTGCATCTCACCTTCCCCCTCCTCCTCTTCCTCCTCTTCCTCTTCCTCGTCTTCCTCATCCTCCTCATCCTCTTCCTCTCCGTCCTCCTCCTCTTCGTCCTCTTCCTCCTCCTCGTCCCCCTCCTCCTCCTCCCATTCCTCCTCCTCCTCAGTCTGCTTCAGCTCAAGCCTCCTAGACCGTCTAACTCTCGTCGCCGCTTCCTCTCCATCCGAACCTCGTCTCCTTCCTCTCACCACCTCCCTACCACCGCCAATCTCCCACCTCAGCTTCCTCCTACCACCGAAACCCCGCCTGCCCCTCCCTCTGCGTCTCCCGCGCGCTCCTTTCTCCCCCCTCCCTCTCCCACCCCCACCACCTCGCCCACACCCGCCCAACCGACCTTCTGAACCTGACCCGCTACCACTGCTCCCCTTAGAATCACCAGATGTGCTACTATTGCCGCCTCTCGCCCCTTTGCCATCTCCTCTCGTCCCTCGCCGGTCTGTACCAGGAGGCCAGACGTGGGGTGGTGAGAAGCATAAACGGCTGTGTTGGCGGGCAGTCTGCAATGACCCGCTTTCTCCCGCCCCCACAACCTCCCTCTGCCTTGCCACAGCAGCAGCAGCAGCAGCAGCAGCAGCAGCGGCTCTTCGGCTGGCCAGTGGCAAGTCGCTGTCTGCGCCACCACTGCTGCTGCTGCTGCGACAACGGCTGTGGCTACGACTGCTGCTGCCACCGTTGCTGCTGCGGCTGCGGCTGCGGCTGCTGCTGCGACTGTGGCTGTGGCTGCTGCTGCTGGTTCCACAAGTGCTGTTGCTACTTCTCTCGCCTTTCTCCCTGCCTCGTGCGACCCTTGGACCCCCTCTCCTCCCCCATCCCCTTCTGCCACCACCATCCTTCCTACCCACGTTCTCGTTTTCGCTGCTGCTGCTGCCGCTCCTGCGGCTTCTCCTGCTCCTGCTTCTGCTGCTGCTGCCAGTGCTGTCACTGCGACTGAGCGTCATCGGGGTGTCCTCACTAGGAACAGATGCCTCATCGCCACTGCTGCTACCCCTGGAGCTGAAACGGAAAGATTCCACATCCTCGTCATCCTCACTATCATCGTCCCCATCATCATCACCACCATCAGGAAACTCGTATTTGGCAGCTGCAGCAGCAAGAGGAGGGGCAGCAGCAGTGTTGCGAGTGGTGGCGCCGCTAGCAGCAGGATGCAAACTGTTGCATTTGGGGCGACGGGTAGATGTTCTTTGAAGAGACCCTTCAACATTACAACCACCACCACCAATATCAGCACTGCTCGTCCTTCTATCGCAGCTCTTTATCCTGCTCCTGCAGCTTCTGCTGCTACTGCTGCTTCTATTGCTGCTTCGGTTGCTACTGCTCCTCCTCGTGTTGCCACCGCTGTGACCCTTACATCTCTCTACTGTATCGCCCTGTATCCTACTGCTACCATCACCACTGGCACTGCCACGCCTGCACGCACTGATGCTGCCACTTTCCCCACTACACCGCGTCTCCTTCACGCTGCTCTCTCCGCCCGCACCGACCCTACAACCCGCCTCCTCTGTCCCATGCATTCCATGTGCACCGCGCGCCCCAGCTGCTACATCCGTTCCATGCGCCCCAACGCCAATGGAGCGTACAGCAGCAGCCGTCCAGCCGCCATGGCCTCGTGGCAGCCTGCCTCGCCTCGCCTCACACGGCCATGCCCCTCCCGCCCGTTCCCCCCGCCCGCCTGCCTCCCTCCACACTCCGTCCCCGTCTTGAATTCGTCTGCTCACATCTGCTGCTCCTTCCGCTTCCCTTTCTGGTTTTCCTGCCCCTACTGCTCCTGCTGGGGCTGCTGCTGCTGCTGCTGCTACTGGGGGTGCTGCTGCTGCTGCTGGGGGTGCTGCTGCTGCTGGGGGTGCTGCTAATCCTGCTGGCGATCCGGCTCCTTTCTGGGCTGGAGCCGCCCCTACTGCAGCAGGAGCAGCATCAAAACCTTCTGCCGTGCCTTCCCCCCAAGCTTCACTTCCACGAGACGCCTCATTGGCCACCACAATAACCACTTCCGCTGAACCGACAGGAACCTGACCAAGCCTAGCCACGGCACCAGCAGCATCACCAGAGGAGTAGCCTGGAAGCTGAAACGGGCCGTTGAGACAAAGGCTGACAGGAACATCAACTGCACACTCCAACTCCTCCCCTCCCACACGCGCATCCCTCTCGCTCTCCACCTCACACCCCAACACCACGCATCCGTTCCTCCCGCGCCCCACCTCCCCCTGCCCGCTTTTGCCGCTCTCCAGCTCCCCCTCCGCCTGCATAACCCGCCTACTCCACCCATCCGCCACCCTCAGAACTATACCCCCTCCGACAGTCTCCCTTTCCTCGTCTCCCCTCGGCCTGCTCGCTTTCCTCTCCTCCCCCTCCTCGCCTCCTCCTTCGGCCCCTCCAGTGCGCTCCATCACCACAGTTGCGACCTCCCTTTCCTGCATGCGACAGGTGAAGCCGCCCAGCCCATCCCTTAACTCTGCCGCATACGACGCACCCAACCCTGCCAACCGGCCTGCTAGACTCCCCTTCCCATCCTCCTCCTCCTCCCCATCCGCTTTGTTCTTCTCCCCTTCTTTGTCTTCTTCTTCTCCCCCATTTCTCTGCTCCCAGGGAGGTTCCTCCTCTTCCCTGTACCGTCTCCCACTAAAAGAGGCTTCCCGCCTGCTATCCGTACCACCATCCCGCCCTCCATTCCTCCTCCACTCCTCCCAACCCGTCTCTCCGGGCTGCAAACTGCCGCCAGCACTCTTCCCCGTGTTCCCCCCGCGTGATTCCCAATCTTGGTCCCTATCTTGACCGCTACTTCCGCTCAGCGCACACTCCCCCACTCCCATCCGCCCATTTATTCCCCTCGCCGCCTCTCCTGCACGCTCCACGGGCCCCCCTGCTACATCCACACTCCAACTCATATCCCCTACTCGCCTCCCGTTTACACCGCTTCCCCCGCATCCCCGCTCCGCTCCGCCTGCCCACTTACCCGCTGCTTCCTGCTCGTTCTTTCTTCCGCTCGGTTGCTCCGCGCGGTTCCTAGCGGCGGCGCGCGCTCTCTTCCGCACCATGAGCGCGCGCTCCAGCTCCAGGCCTTTGGGGGTCATCTTGCGCTGGCGCTTCTGCGCCGTCCCCGCGCAATCTTGCGCCACAATCTCCGCATGAGGGGGACTTGAAGGCTCGGGTCCTTCCACTAACGTCGCTCCTACCCCTCTCGCCATGCTCCCAAGACATAGAGCATGTGCATCCGCGCTATATGCGCCTGAGCGGAAGCCTGGAAGTACTCCGCTTAGTATCTGCTGCGGCTGCACCACTCCCTGTTTCCCCTGCCCCTCCTTCTCCTCCTGCTCCTGCTGCTGCTGCTGCTCGGGAGGCAGCTTGAGAGATTCTACATGGGATTCGAGGCCCATTCAGACGCCGTCAAACGCGGAGAGCCTCTTCCGCACCAGCTGTGAAAATGAGGGTTGGAGGGGCTGGCTTAACACGAGCAACGAGGGGACTGAGGGAACTTCAACAGCCATGAAACCCTAACGCTACGTGGTCTCAAGACTGGACTGACAAAGCGGTGTGAAGATTTACGGCTCTTGGAACCACGCTCGTGGCTCCCCGAATCTGCTTACGTCGATAGTGAATTCGAAATTAGGGTTCGAGTAGTAAGGGTTTGTTTTGAGACGCGAGGGACAAGCGAGTAACTCGGGTGAGAGAACCGAGGGGAAGAGAGTTGGTGTGCTGGTGGACCGCTAAGAGCCAGGAGAGAATGAAATGCGAATGGAGAGGAAACAAGTCCAACGTCCAAGCATAAGAGTCAGCGGAGTGCTGCTGCCGGGCTGCTACATTTCTTGCCGGTCAAAAGTCATGGGACCACAGAGGACGGCACTGATTTCAAGCTACTTCCTCGGAAATTCGTTGAGGAACGAGCAGCAACATCGGAGAGGTGAAGCGAGTCACAAAAATGGTGGCAGTTGGGCCTCCTGTGCCTGTTTTGGTGGCTGCTCATGTGTCACGAAATGAGACCATAGGGTGGGGGGGAAACACCTGTATTGGTTTGGTTGTTTGCTGAGGTGGGCTGTGACACCTCCTTCCGACCAAGCCTAGGAGCGAGAGAAAGGAGGAGGTTTGGTGGATTTCATAAGTTGCAATTTCAGACTTCTGCTGCGGCCTGACGTAGCAGCCACCCACCACTGAAAGGGCATCCAGTAAGGCTCGCGATTAAGTTTTGCGACGCCAGCGAGTCAAAAGTCTTGCTTTCGTGCTACTTCGCGAGCCCTATCTTCAGTGTCGCACAGGGTGTGGCGGGGCAGCAGAGCTTAGCAGACCACAATCCCCCAGATCCCGCACCAATCAAAAGCCGAGCTCGAGCATTGGCTCCGCGAGACTAGAATCTGGCACTAGGGTACTGTAGAGGTGATGGCAAGTTTTGGTCAGAGGAGAAAAAACTCCAAGAGAGGCAAATTTATACCAACTACGCCTATTTTCAAGGCATCCTGCCCAGAACCAGAGCAACATTTGTTCACGTTTCAACACGTGGTGCATCATTGCACAAACACGAAACCGTAAACAGGTGGAAATTTTGAAGGGCGCCAGCTGGTTTGGCACAGACAGCGTCCTGGTCTCTTCAGACACAGGTTCGCATCGCAGTGAACCTGATTGGCCTTTATTTGATGGGATGATAAGGAGAGAAGCATGTGTGGACGAAGAAGGTACACTGCGGATGTATTTACCTTATAAAGTAAACGTAATCTGTAAATACATACCCAGACAACACTACACTTCATTACCTCATGACACCATAATCATGGCTCAATAATCCTTCAATTGTGCATGGTGAGAGATTACTTTAGAAGCATATCGTGAACCTATGTAGTCCACTGTTAACAGTGCAGCATACACTGCTAACAACTTCTCTCCCTCCCTAACAAACCCACCCATGTCTACTTGAAGGTTTAACCAGCATTGGAAAAACGATATATGTATTCCAGTTGATTTCATTGGTAGAATTAATCATAGGCCAAGGCATTCCGCCGTTACTTCTCTCATGTATCACCAGATGAAGTAACATGCCTAACACTTCCTTCTGAGCGCTGATTCCTCTCCCTCTCCTCCTTTTCTACCCGATCCCTCTCTTCCACTTCCCGTCTCAACCTCTCCAGCTGCCTCCGACTCCTCTCCTGCTCCTTCTCTGGTCGACCCCGTCGCTGCATCAATCTACGCCGAGCAACCTCTTCCGACAGCTCCTCCTCGCCCTCTCCCTGCAACCGTCAGCCAGCAGACATTCCAAAATTTGAGTAAATTCACTGGATCACAGGGAAAACACTGTACAACAGCATCTGTCCAACTAGACCCTCCACCGGGGCCATTGATGCACCATGTAGCAGGCAACTGCTGTTGGATTGGAGGGCTGACGAAGCAATCCCACTCCAACAAGCATCAATGTCCTTAGTTCTGCCTCAATGAACCTTTCATACACTTCCCCAGACCAAACGACCTTTCATCCTTCTCATACTGTGGGCCTATGTGGTTTTGCAGTAAAGCCCTGCCTAGCATATAAATTCTGTGCATCTCTCATGTTTTGGCGTGAAAATGGGGGCACTCACCTGATTAAGCGAGAAGGGATGTCTTCGTGGGATGAACCGCACTGTCATGGGATCCACGCCCTCCGGCACCGGGTCTCCTTCCACCAGCACTAGCTCCGGCTTCTTCCACCCGTGCTCCTTGCGACGCTGCTGCCTGTGGTACTCCATCTTCTCGTTAGTCAGAGGCGGCAATGGCTCCAGCTCAACCAGAGTCGCATTGCCTATGCGGTAATTCCGCACCGATGTCGGGTCGTCGAACTCGCGAATCACGCGCAACCTGAGGACCCATGGAGAGGAAGAAAGCAGAGCGTTGGAAAAACGGAAAACTTCCGCAATTGCCCGAGACCCGTTCGTGAAGGCCAGGAAACTCTCGGCACTTACTTCCGTGACATGAGACTAGGGCGTGCGAGCTGGAGCAAGGCGAGACTTACAAGCTGCGATAACGATACGGTTCTTATCCCTTCTAAGTACAATACCCGCATTAAAATTATATATTTCAAGCACGTACGGCACAGATCTGTCGGCCGCAATGAATCCTCGCCGAGCTAGCGAGTCCACAGGCCTCTCCTCCTGTCCCCTGGCTCTGCGAACGAGCACTGCGCAGACCCCGACCACGGCCAGTACAGCTGCTGCCAATCCGCCTACCGTCCACCATTTTGCCGATCCGGTGGGTAACGGTAAGCGCTCGAGGAACGAGAACTGTCGAATAGGAATATAGATGGGGATAGGATATAGATGAGGACGCAGACGCGAGTGTTTTAGACAGGAAATACTTGGGCCATGAGGGGAACCTGACGCGAACGAAATATGTTAAAGTCAAGCACAGCGGAAACAATGGGGGAAGCGGGACAAGGGTAACGGTTCTCACGGAAGTAGATTGCTCGCTGACGAGGTTCTTAGAATCCTGCGACCCGTGCACCACAACCTTAACCAGCTCTTGATCTCTCCCGTCCTTCTCGGTCCCTCCCTTGCTCTTCGCTACGGATTTATTTTTTGCGGCTTGGACAAGGACGACGGACCTTCTGGCCAGCTGACAGAGACGATGCGGACTGCTTCGGAGGAACGCATCCGGCCGTTCCAGTCTGTGAATATGGTTTGAATGGCTGGAAGGGGAAGAGAGAAGAGGTCTGGCAGAGCTACAACGAGGGGAAAACGGAGATCTCTGCCAGCAGGCGACGGCGTCTGAGCCACGTGTCACGCCGCTGGTGCTACCAGGGCTGACGGCACTGCTCGTGGTGGTGGTGGTCACGGCCACCAAGCGGGCTTGTTGGGCAACGTAAGACATCGAGGTCGCTGCCATTATGTGCAACTAACGGCTAAAACAATGAATGGCTTCTGTGACTAGAAGCTAACACAAGGCGAAATGCTTCATGAACGGAGAAACTGAAAGAAGAGGCACATTGGTGGGACGAACATCACATTTCGAAATACTTCCAGGTACACTTCGAATAGCTGAGATGAGAGATACTGCACTGAGGGGAAGATGGCAGGCTTCTCGTCCCTCTACTTCCGCTGGAATTTGCAACAGAGATGGGCATGCCTCCTCCATCCCTGTTTACCGTCGATCTAAAATTAAAGTCAGATAATAGCCGCCGGATGGATCATGACTTCTGGAAAAAACATTTCCTTTCAGCACATGTGGTGTTTCCGAGGCTGCTGCACACGTTTGGTGCCAGCGTGGAGCCCGAATAGTTCAGTTCGAGTGGCCCCACCTTATCTGGCGCTGGGTGGACCACAGCAGCTCGAAAGGTGAGGTTCGTGCAGTGCGCGGGAAAGCAAATAATAGGCTGATCGGGTGTGCTTGAACCACAATCACCGAGCCTAGTAAGCAGTTATTTCAACATGTTACGAGAGCAATTGAGTGAACAAACGAGAATTGCACTATCTAAACAAGAGTACAATGAGCGAAGGCATGAGCGAAGAATATAGAGCGAAACTACAATGGTAACGGTAATGGACTGTGGTTGTCGCGCGACGGGCCTGGGACTGAGGTTGGGAAAAGTGTCGAAGCGGAGGCCCGGAGCGCGGGTTACCCGCCGAGCCGTGAGGTCGGGGTGCGACGTGCGAAAATGGCGGGCGGATTGTCGATGCGAGGATTGCGAGTGGTAACGGTGCTGACTGTGGTGCAACAGTGATGTACGCGTTGAGCAGGGATGCGAAGTAAGGAAAAGGATTTTTCCTTACACTACCCCCCATCCTAAGGCGGTCCTCCTTACGAAAGTGCGTGTACATCCCTGAAGTTTCGGCTGCGCAAATACTCGGTGAGGACGGGGTGGTTTTCGATTCTGTCCAAGGGAACCCAATTGTCTTCGGTGGGTGTACGGTCTTTCCAGCGGAGTAGGAACTCGATCCTTCGGGCTCCTCGAGGGTCACGAACTCTGTGGCTCAGGATTTTGTCGGGGGTGATGATTGGTTCAGTCGGCGGTCGTGTCATGCTGGCTGGGCGATTGCGTGGGAGTTGGCTTGTGGACGGGGCGTAGGGGCGAAGCAGGCTGACGTGGAACGAGGGGCTGACGTACCAGTCAGTAGGAAGGAGGAGGTGGGCAGTGACGGGCGTTATCATATGGCTTATGCGAAATGGCCCGAAATATCGGGGGCGGAGTTTGGGGGTGATGGGCAGTCGGAGGTTCTGAGTGTCGAGTAAAACTAGGTCGTCGGGCTGGTAAGTGACAGGTCTGCGGTGGCGGTCGGCGTTGCGTTTAGCGATGATGTCCGATTTTTGTTTTTTATTGTGTCTGCTGCCCTGGTCCGTGCTGCTTGCAAAATTTCGGCGAACTGTTGCGCTCGTGGAATCGGGTTGTCGGGATTCGGGGTCATGGGTACTATTGGGTCTTGTCAGTAATTCAGGTAGAACGGTGACTGTTGGGTCGTGGCGGATGGGGCGTTGTTGTATGCGAATTCGATGAGTGGCAGTTGCTGTTCCCACGTGTTTGGGTCGTCGCACATGGCCCTGATGAAATGTTCCATGGTCTGATTTGTCCGTTCTGTCTGTCCGTCGGTTTCGGGGTGGTACGATGAACTAAACTGTAGTCGCGTGCCAAACTGCTGCCACATGTTCCGCCAGAAGTTGCTGGTGAATTTCGTGTCTCTGTCGCTGATGATTGATGCTGGTATCCCGTGCAGTCGAACGACGGTAGAGATGAAGGGGCGGGCTGTTTCTTCGACTGTGATTGGTTTTTTGCAGGCTGCGAAGTGTGCCATTTTCGTCAGTTGATCGACGACGACCAAGATCACGTCATTTCCACTCGCCCCGGCCGGTAACCCCGTGACGAAGTCCATCGTCACCTGCTGCCAAGCACGCTCTGGAGGTGGGATTGGCTGCAGTTGTCCCGCCGGCCGCTTCCGGGTTGACTTCATGATCTAGCAAGTGGGACACGATGCCACGTGTCGCTGCACGTCGGTCAACATTTCGGGCCAGTAATAATACCGCTGCAGCTGCTGCCGTGTTTTCTCTACCCCGAAATGTCCCGAGGTAACTCCATCATGTGCCTCCTGTAATAGTAATTCCCGTAGCAGTGTGTACCCTGGTACCCAGATGCGCTCGGTCCCGGCTTTTACGTAATAGACTCCCTTGGCTGCTGCAAACTGCTGCGAATTTCGTCCTATGAAGAATGGGTCTGTTTGATATCCGTGGGTAAATACTCCTGTCAGTAGCGGGCTGGTCTGGGCGAGTAGTATCGCGTGGATCTAGGCAGCGGGGCGGGTCAGTGCGTCGGCGATGTTCGAGGCTCCTTTTTTATAGGTGACTGTGTAGTGGAAGTTTGACTCGAGGAAATCGAGCCACCGAATCTATCGTGGGTTGAGTGGGGCTGTGTGCGGAGGTACTGTAGTGATCGGTGGTCTGTCCGTACTGTCACGTCTACGCCGGTCAAGTAGCAGCGCCACACTTTGAACGCATGCACGATCGCGAGCATTTCGCGGTCGTGTATCGGGTAATTTCGTTCGGGCGGATGCAGTTTTCGTGACTCGTATGCGATGGGCTGTAGGCCGTTGCCGAAGTCATGTAGCAGTACGGCTCCGATGGCGATGTCGCTTGCGTCTGTAACAACCTCGAAGGGGCGGTGTGGGTCGGCGATGCGCAGGACGGGCGGTGAACAGAGAACATTTTTCAGGGCAGAGAAGGCTGTGAAAAAATGAGGAAATGAAGAAGAGAGGATTTCACTAGCAGCAATGAGGACACATGTAGCAAACCCTAGATGGGTTGTACTCGCTGTGAGAATCCCAACCACTAGACCATTGGGATAAAAGGGCTTGTTTCAGTAGCGGGTCAATGCGCCCATAACCCCCCAGGCAAGCGCGCCTGTAACCCCCCCTAGGATCGATCGGGGATCTCACAGTGTAGCTCTACTGACACTCGCTATAGAGCACCCCACTAAAGGCTAGAGAATAACATTCTGACACACCCCCATAGCCCAAGTGGGGTGTAATCAGCACAATGAGCAAGCAGGCATAGAGCAGGAGTTCACAATAGCGAGCAAAGCTAGAGTCATTCACAAAGGGCAAGTGAGGAGGAGGAGGCGAGACTGTAAGAGGAGAGGAGATAGGAGGCGACGGCTGAAGCTGCAGACACACGGGCAACAGGAGTCACACTGGCACAGCGGCTACCGGAACAGCGCTCCGGACTACTGGAGTAACTGGCTCCGCGGCTAAGACTAGCGGCAGACGAGCAACGGACCCACGGGCGACTGGCACAGCTGGCTACGACTGGGCTACCGGAGCAGCGCCCCGGACTACTGGTGCTGCTGACGACACGACGACAACCTCCGTTCAACCAACCTCCTCCAGCTGCCCCACACCTCTCGACACACACCCCCTGCTAAAACCTTAGCTCCACTCCCATAGCACCCCCCTTACACCCTAAACCGCAGGCTCACACACATCCTCCTCCCTCAAAACCCTTGCTCCACTCCCACAGCACCCCCCTTAAACCCTATACCCCAGGCTCCCACACATCCACCCCCCTCAGCGACAGCTGCAGCAGTGGGAGACGAAGGAGGAGGAGGAGCAGGGGAGACCACACAAGCGTCACCCCCTACTCGCCACCCCCAGACCCTAACACAGGGCAGGGCGGGACGGCGGGTAGGGAGGTTAGGGGGGGGGAACGCGCGGTCTCCCAGGGCGCCAAAACAGGCGGCAGAAGGGGCGATGCTCGCCCCCCTCCCCCAGGCCGCACGCGGCCCCCTCAGCTCGCCTCGACAGGCGATGGGAAAAGGGGGGGGGGGGGCGGTGCACGTGCCCCCGGTGCGCCGTGGCCGGCGACGGGGCATGGCCGGGGCGGGGCCGGGGCCGCAAGTGGCGGCGACGGGGCCGCTGGAGGCGGCGACGGGGCCGCTGGTGGCGACGACGGGGCCGCTGGCGGCGGCGACGGGGCCGATAGGAGCGGCGACGGGGCCGCGAAGGGGCCGCGAGGGGCTTGGAAGGGCGGCGACGGGCCGCGAAAGGGGCGGCGACGGGGCCGCGAAGGGGCCGCGAGGGGCCTGGAAGGGCGGCAACGTGGCCGCGAAGGGGCCGCGAGGGGCCTGGAAGGGCGGCAACGGGGCCGCTAAGAGTAGGGCGAGGGGCACGCCACGGGGCGTGCCGAACACAGAGTAGCAGCGGAAGCAGTTAGGTGGGCCCACAGGCCAGGACCGTAGATGCTCTGATAGCATGTGAAAAAATGAGGAAATGAAGAAGAGAGGATCTCACTAGCAGCAATGAGGATACGTATAGCAAACCCTAGATGGGTTGTACTCGCTATAGAGCACCCCACTACAGGCTAGAGAATAACATTCTGACAAAGGCAGCATGCTTTTTCTCCCCCCACGTAGAAACGACCCCCTTTCGCAGTAAATCCGTCAGCGGGGCGGTCAATTGTGCCATGTCGGGGACGAACCGACGAGCATAATTAACGAACCCTAAAAAACTCTGCAGTTCCGTGATGTTCATCGGGGGACGCCACGCTTGGACCGTATCCAGCTTCTTTGGGTCGATTTCAACTCTAGCCTCCGAAATAACGTGCCCCAAAAATTATAGTCTGTCCCGAAAAAACTCGCACTTAGAGCCCTTGGTGAGTAACCGATGTTCCTCTAAAACTTTAATTACTGCTTCGAGATCCGCTAAGTGCTGCTGCTTGTCGCGACTGTAGACGAGGATGTCGTCGAGGTAAACTATCACGCATTCATCTAAAAGTGGCCTAAACGCCTCGTTCATGGTCGTCTGAAATGTTGCGGGCGCGTTGGTCAGCCCGAAAGGCATCACCGTGTACTCAAACGACCCGTACCTAGTCCTAAATGCTGTCTTGGCGCA